TCACATTGATTAAGTTTGAGAATTTCAACTCATAAACGAATTTTATTTTGTGAAGTACTAGCTACTGGCGAATAAAAATTATCTTTTATGAATAGGGAAATATCGATGAAAGTATTCTTTAGCAATATGGTACAGCTAGTAGAAACAATTTATATTGTTATATTGATTAAAAGGGAACGGATTTATATGTAAATACATATTTTTATTAAAACGAGATATTTAAGATTCGATAAGAAATGTTCATGATTTAAATCATTCCTATTAATATGATGCTATTTTTATTTTACATATTTTTGCATATTTTGGTATAATTACATATTTTTACATATTTCACTAATTTGTAAATATTTTTAAACATATTTTATCATTTCATCATTCATAAGTTTTCTTTGTACAAAAGTACAAGAAATTATTTCAAAATTAGATCCAGTAACTTCTATCGCTATTAGAAAAGCTTAAAATATTATGCAAAATGAAACATTAAAAACTAATTTAATTTTCATCTCAGTGAATTTTAGTTTTATTGCACATACATTTACAAAATTAGAAACAAGAATATGTCCTTAAATGGAAGTATGCAAATTGTCGAATCAACGATTGCAAAATGAAAACTCGTAAACGGACCAATAGATGTTGTAAAAAAGAAAACGCATGCTGTTACAGAAAAAAATTCCAGGCTCTATTGATTTTAAATCAATCAATGAAATAATGAAAGGTAGACACCCTTCTAAAAATTTGGAATTATCGCCTTCTGATATTATGCGCTTTAAATATACTTTAATCAACCGATGTAGGTTGATGTGGAACGATCATTTAGCCGTTTTAAAAATATTTTCAGATCTAATAGGTGACATTTAATTTTTGATAATTTAAAAGATATTGTAATAATTCAATGCAACAAATCATTTTGATAATTTAATAATTATAATTTTTTTTTTTTTTTTTTTAATTAAATTTTTTCCTACATATTTGGATGTTTTTAGCACATATTTTATAAATTATACTTACATGCATATGTACATATTTCTGTATTTTTATTACATATAAATCCGTTCCCAACGGATTAACTTAATAACGTATATTTATTATATTAATTTGATCGTATCTGATTATATAACAATGTCAAACAATGTGTTTTTTTACAAATGTTGATTAAATTTCAGAACTAATTTTAAAATTTAAGGATAACAATCGGTGCTATAAATTAAACGATCTGCGTGAGGGATTTAATGCGTACACTCAACAAATTACAAATTCAATAATTTCCACCGAGCGTTATGAATTCAAATGTAAATATTTCTGCATATTGATCCGTATACGTACATTTTACACGGTAAACATACAGTTATCGTTGTTGCGTAAAGTTTACCACAAACAGTCAAATTTAATTGCGCGGTGATTTATTTCAATATCACGCACTACATTATTTATGTTCCAGAGTTTCAAGATCAGTAGCAGGTTATTAATATACGTTTCCACTTTTTCCGAAAACTCAGAGCCACATGCCCACAAACGACTGTAAAATTTTAAGGCGTACACTATTACTCTACATCAGTGAATGACGTATAGTGCGGTTTTAGTTCCGATATGATTTGAGTCGCCTGTTCCACGATCTCGTATGTGCGATCGAAATCGTTTATGAAAAGGGTTTCGTGGCTGTGGGTAAGCACGTAAAGTTGTCCGCACAGCCACACGGGAAATAATTCGTCTGAATCGTGTGCGCGATAAAACGATCTATAAACACGACATCCTCTGACAGCTATTCATCGTCCTTTTCGTTATGCGTTCAAAAGAACGTTTTTGACGAGAAATTATTTAAATTATTTGATCTCTAGTATATATTGTTCATACAATAATCTGAATATTATTTTTGGTAAGGTTATTTTAATGTTATATTTTAAATAAATAAAAAAAAAAAAAATGTACTGTAGGTATTTTTACAAAATTGGCTTTCCCATACTAAAAATGGTGTTACAGCTATAAAACCATAAAAGTCGTAAAAGCTTTTTTCATTTTTCCCCAGAGCTCTATCATTGGCGAACCGTATAAGGAATCATGTTGATTGGTTTTCCATGTCATGTAATGTATTCGGACAAAATGTTTTTATGGCTTTACATTTACTTGTTTAAATTATTTAGTTATTTTCTTGGTTATGACTGTTACTATTATTATTATATTTAATATTAGTTCTTTATTATTATATTTGTCATACTTACTTATACTATACTTTTTTTTTAGCTTTGAACTTTGTTACTATATATTTTTATAAAAAGGCTTACTGGACAAAGTTTCAATTTTAAGTTTTCATTTTCGTTTAAGTAAGTTATTAAGAGGAAATCGATAAATGACCTTATTCAAATGTGCTTTCTGAGTTCAATATTTTATACAAAAAGTATGAATCACATTTAATACAAGATACCCAGAAGTTTAATCTCAAAAAAATAAAATATAGAAAGAAAAAAAAGATAGATGCTTTACTTTAATATCTATGCATATCATTCACGTTCCAAAATACTTTTAATTACTTGTATTTTCTGTATTATATAATTTTCTACATTATTTGTGACTTAAATTATTTAGCACGGTATTTTAGTTATTAATGTATTCTCTACAAAACTGCCTATAATCCATTAATGGTATTTGTTCGACACATAATCATCATGAATAGTTTAACATTTAAACGTCAGTCGTATTGAAAATTCCCTATTGCTTGGCATGCCTTTTATATACCTCGTGCTCCATGCTAATCGATTACGTCAAATAACATGTATGTGTTTTGCAGTTTTGCAGTTCTTACATTTTGAAACAAACTAATTCAGAAACAGCCTTTTTCTTCAACAGAATTGCAGATGTAGTCACGCAAAATTTTTTACAGACTGTGCATTTTTCTCTATTGATCGATTAGTTTGAATGTCGACGTTTGTTTAATTTTATGTTATTATATTCGAATGATTAGAATAGGTTAGCGTCAAAAATTAGATATTCTGGTACTAAACCATTACAATGTAATTACGAAAAGATTGAGTATCAACAAACTTTTATTTTTTTTTTCTAGTCGTAAATCTCTTACGGTATATCAGTTTATAATATTATATAAAATTAAAAAAATTGTAAGTTATTGTTTGGAATTTTTTTTCAAAAAAAAATACATAAGTCACAAGCCATATAAAATAATTCATCCTTTAGAAAAATATTATATTTTATCGAAATAAATTATAAATGTTATTAGTCCTTTATTAAATATTTTAATTTAAAAAAATATAATTGTTATGATATTATTATTTAGAAGTTGTAATATACCATTGCCACATTTATGGTTGTGATGTTACTAATAGTTGTGTCAGGTTATAAGATAAATAAAAGGCAACTAACACTTTTATTTTTAAATATAAATGATCTTAATTAATGTATTTTTGGCATTCGTTAACTGTGTGTACAATCGTATTTCAATGTTTTTGTTTTTGTATGGTTGTCATATTTTAAACACACCAATGATCATTACCGAAAGCTACTGAGATTTTTATTTGTGCACTATTTAACCAAAAACCTACAGGAGATTGCGTTCAATAACTGGGGGTTTAATTTCTGCTTTTTGGCGGGTTAAAAACCCATTACAACTTTGTCTATATTGTCCAATGACATTTTTTTTCATGAAATATTATGGTATTCTTTTATCTTATTTTTAATTTATTTTATGTTTCGATTTTGCTTCGGTGGAAAAGAGGTGATGTACAGCAACATTTATTTAGTTCCACAAATTAAAGGAATTATAATTTTTACTAGGAAATAATTTAACAACCGACCTCGGTAATGAGATTTTTCTCAGAAGTCTATAATAAATAGTTATTGATCTCAAATGTTTTTTCATCTATTTATTTTTATTTAAAAACATAGTATTTTTTAATCTCATCGTACTATACACGGTTAGTGCATGATAAGTTTAATTTATAATTGGTCGAAAATTTACCAAAATAAATTATTTATTTATTTTTTCTGTCCTTTCCATTTGTAAAACATAATGTTATTGTATTATATAATACTGATTATATGCTTGAATATAATTATAGTCTACATATTCTTAAACGTAACATTTTGCGAAATGTGTTGAAATAACATTTTTTTTTAGAATACCCAAAATGTCTTAAGGCACTTAGATTTGGAATTAAAATTATAGTACTTCATAAAATACATTACATAGTGTATATAAATGTAAAAATTCCTAGAATGTATAATATCCGTTTCGTGTCTAAGTTTTATTACAATTAGGTAGCCAATGTTTAAACTACATATTATGCAATCATAATAAAGGAAAAAAGTGTGTGATAAGAACAATATATATATTTGTTATACGGTTGTAATTATATTTACCTTTTTTTTGCATAGGTATTATTCATAACTCCGATTTCCTTCATGACTGTAATTTTTAATAATATAATCCGTCAAAATAAATGTATTTTATCAGTTAAATTAATAGTAAGAATATTTATTTTGATTTAGTTTTTAAATTATCCAAAATAAATTATGTGGTTCGGTACTGTTCTAAATTTTATTACTTCGGTCTTTTGTACTGAATAATTATACGTAAAAAAGTATCTTATTTCATTTTCATACAAAATACATAAAAATAATATATCGACTCTTAGAACTTCTGAGTGGTATGATTGATACTGATTGATACTGTCAATAGATAAATATTTAAAAATATGTTTGATTATTGATAGCAGAGTATCATTATACTTTTATTAGATGAATAATAATTAGATCATTTGTATTGAATTTACCTACTCTAAGTTTATTAATAATAATAAATTCATACGTTATTTGAAAATTAATGAAAATAATTAGTTAAACAAAATGTAAAAACAAAAACTATAAATTTGAAATCAAATATGTCATTAGTTCTCAATATTATTGTTATTTGGTTTAAGTTGATTTACGCGGTAATAAAACTTGATAATTTTCATTAACATAGTTTATTTTTATTTTGTTACCATTTATAGGGCATTTGGATTCATTTTAAATGTTTCTGTACAAGATAGAATCCAATAATCGGACTGATGTGCAGCCTAGGGTTCAAAACACGCAATAGTCCATCGCAGAAAACGTCATTGCGTTGGGGCGATTGTTGTTCGCTACAATTCTGAGCTTATATCAGAACAAAAGAGAGCAGTAAAATCGGTATCAAAGAAAAATCAATACAGTGAACCGAGTTTACGTTTCGTGAAAGTTACCTAAAAACCTGTTAACAAAAAGTGTTTCAATATACATATCCTATATTTGTTTAAATTTTGTTGAATACATTTTTATCGAAATTTTTTTGCTGTGAAAAATAAAAATCGGAATAAAACCAATACGACGTTCTGTTACTGAGAATGTGTGATAACGCGCGAGTAGTAAATCTGTACTGAGTTCCAGCGTAGATCGAAAAGAAAAAAAAAGAGAACCGATCGTCGAGGGAAAACGAATTTTATCAGAAGGACTTGAGACACAGAACACTTAGTCCGACAAACATTGCCCGTGAGTGTCGTCGTAGACCGTACTCTGTACACGTCTGCGACAATGATGTTATGGTTTTTGTTTTTCGCGTCGTAAAACCGTCGCAATAATATTATGTGCACCGTGTCCGCAGAAAATGAACGTCGTTGGCGTCATATCCATAGTGTTCTTCTACTGCTTGATCCTGGCGGTCGGGCTATGGGCCGGGAAAAAGAAGCATACTGGGAACTCCGAGGAAGAGGTCATGTTGGCTGGCAGGAACATTGGACTATTCGTCGGCATATTCACCATGACGGGTAATTGCTATACGGAGAAACAATATATTCAGTGTATTCTCGATTATCCGCAGAATAGGGTGGCAGATTAGGGTGTGCGACATCCACGGATAATCCGTGGATAAAAATATTAAAATTAAAACAACGCAAAACACTTTAAACAGAAATGTGAAGTTTTAGTCGATAGGTATGTGTTTGTACAGTAGACAGAAGACTAAATAGGTGTACGTGTTTTTAGATTAAATGCCAATGTTATGTACAATCTGCGTTATCGCGTGATCGATTATCGCAATCAAATTAAACCGATAATGATTAATAATGTATATATAAATAATTTTGTATCCCCGGAAGACAGCGGATAATCGAGAGTACACTGTATTTATGACGTAATTGCTAATCTGAACCCGTTCTCTGTACGATTTTATGCTCAGCGACTTGGGTCGGCGGAGGATATATTAACGGGACAGCCGAGGCGATTTTCACGTCAGGTTTGCTGTGGTGCCAGGCTCCGTTTGGATACGCATTGAGCTTGGTCTTCGGTAAGTCCAACAAAACTTCATACACGTTGTCCTCACGTAAACAATGGACCGCGGGTACGCTGCAATGATCGTAATTGTCACGTAAATAATTATTACTCACTTCATCGGGTACCTTCGACATAATATTATATTCGATATTATCAAACGCGCTCCGGAACTGAAGTCAGTCATACATTTCGAGATGTAGATACGCATTGACACAACTAAGGGGGTAAAATAGGATTTTTAACACCCCTGAGTTCGAATGTTGCATTCCCGTTTTTTTTTCAGATCTATATAATCTATAGTAATTGCGGTTAAATACCATTTTATTTTACTTTCAGAAATTTCAGCATCCCAATATTTGGACTCTATTTGCGCCCATGTAGATACACATGCACTCGATTTTACGATCGTTGTAAAAACGTATCTACATCTCGCGTGGACCGACGGTTTTGCCGTGAATCGATATCGAACGCGTGTTCCCAGTTTAAAATGGACCTACTCATAATACCCAGTGGGAATTAATTCGTGCGGGGAAAAACGAATATAATTAAAATTTGCAACCCAGACGATTTTTACCCGTAATAAACGAAAACAACGTGGTTAAAACAAATCAATAAATAAATAAATAAATAAACGGTTTATGTATAGAAATGAATAAACAAACGCTTAGTCTGGAATATTATATTTTTAATTTGAAATCATTCGTATTTTACTAATATAATAATACTCCAAGCAAAGCACTTATTCATTTGTTTCTATGTATAAACTATTTGTTTATTTATTTATATATGCATTCACGAGTATTAACCATTTAATATTAATATTTAATTTCAATTTCATATTTTATTATTTTATCAAAACACATCGATTGTCAACCGAATTACACATAAACTACTTGTTTGTATACAAAATGTAGAAACTAAATTATTTTTGTTGTAAATAAACAACAAAAGAATCAGAAGAAAAACTTCCACTTCTTCTCTTAAAATCGGAATTGTAAATTTAAATATTTAAAATATTCAAGAATTAGTTAAACGTGAAATTATTGTTATGAACAAATTTTGTAACTTTTAAAATATATTTATTAGGATCTTAGTGTAAAATTTCTCACATTTTGTTTAATTGTCTTGATCTTCTTTATAGCCGGCGTCTTCATTTTGTTGTATGTCTTACCAACAACGTTCCTTTTACTCTGCCATATGTCTTCCAATTCTCTAATCTATCCTTGATCAAAGCTATCATTAAGTTTTTCCTCTCAGAGGGCTTGTTATTATAATTAAATTTTTATTTAATATATATCTTTTTTTCTTTTACTCTTCTCTCTGTCTTTTATATTCTTTTAATTTCAAGTTGATACAAATGTATTTTTAATTAAGTTAAAAAAAAAAAAAATTGTTTATTCAATTGATTTTACTTTGTCAACTTTTTTCTTCTGAAAATTATTTATTTATTATCTGTTTTTATGTCAGACTGTCCATGCGATCTAATTGTCATACTGTGATTCAAGTATATATTTACCAATTTTTTTGCGATTCACAAGTTTTAAAATTATTATCAAAATTAAATTCGAGTATCTAGTTATATTTGCCTTAATGAAACCCTTCATGAGCTCTTTATAAATTCAATATTATTTGTTTTTATTTAAACGAAAAAATATGTTAACTAAACTATTATAACGAATTTAAATTTTTCAATTAAAATGGATTAAGAGCAATTTAAAATATGACAGAAAGTGTCACGCGTAATATAAATACGACTACTTTAGCGAACGTGGAATTAAATAACTTGCACGATAATCGTAGAACTGGTAATAATTACTGTGGCCAAAGTACATGATATTTTTTTGTCTGCTGTAAAAACGATAATTTTTATTTTTTATTTATTTTTTTTATTTGATTAAATACGTTATCATTCTCAGATGAAATACACCAAATATTTCATTAGTGCGGACAAAAGTCGTTCAAAATTTAAATATATGATGTGTTCTTGTGTGTGTGTTTGTATGTTCAATCTTCACACGATCAAAAATCAAAACAGGTGGAATATTTTTTGCCGACCCGATGCGTAGACAAGGGTACGTTACTATGTTGGATCCACTTCAGGATTGTTTCGGCGAACGTATGGGTGGATTGTTGTTTTTGCCCGCCCTTTGCGGCGAAGTGTTCTGGTCCGCCGGGATATTGTCTGCACTGGGTACGTAAATCATTTCGCGTCCGTTCACCATCAGCGCGCGGTGTTTAAATTTGACGCTTGCACACAGGCGCCACGTTAAGCGTAATCATCGAACTGGACCAGGCCACCAGTGTCATCTTGAGTTGCTGCATTGCCGTGTTCTACACGATTTTCGGCGGACTGGCTAGTGTCGCTTACACGGACGTCATACAACTGTTCGCCATATTCATCGGACTGGTACGTATTACGGTGTTCTTGTCGTCTATTTCATTCCGAAAACAAAGTGTCAGGAAAATGAAAAAAAAAAAATAAATAAAAAAAATCCGCAAAAAAACAGGTCTTGTGGAAATTAGTTACCGGGAAAAACTGTTTCTGGTGTTAGTAATACTGTATATTGTAATGTGCCATAAAAATTAGACAAAATTAATGTATTCTACATCAATCGAATAGTTTGTTAGTTTGTTCTAGTAAAAATGATTGACCATTTATTTAGGTAATTATTAACTCATTAGCATGGATCAAGTGAACTTTGTTTTGTTGCGAAGTACATTTTGACAGCATGCTAGAAAAAAATATACTAACACGATTTTCAACCCAGTATTACAATACTCATCAATCATTGCTTGGCAAAAATTCAGATGATAAAATAAAAAATTTTAAATTTTTTATTTTTTTTTAAAACAAATGAGTACGGAAAAAAAAACAGAATTATTATAATTAACGGTTACGTCTTACGTGTAAATACTATAGTGTTGTTATTCTTAAATTACACGAGAAAGCCCAAGTGTTAGCGTTAATGTTATAATAACATTATAAAAGGATCTTAGAATCTAATTAAGGTGTTATATATATTCAACATAAACGTTATACGTGTAATTACACACACAAAAATAGTCGTTTACAGTTGTATTGTGTGTTAAAAGAAATTGAAAACAGAACCTCATTAGTTTTAGTAGACATTTATATTTTAAGAATATGGAATTGTTACACGAAAATGATAAATTGTCATTTATTCGTCAGATCATTTAGTGGTCAATACAGTGACGTACTAATGGGATCAGAGATTAAATATCCATCAAATTATAAAGAATAACAATTTTTTCTGATATGTTTTTTTTTTTTTTTTTGTTCAGGTTATCTGGTTCAGGTTATCAGGTTATCTGTAAACTTAAAATCCACCCCGACACAATTTACGTTTAGGTACGCCCTTAAGCTATAATAATACTTTGGTGAACGAAAAACGAACGTAAAAAATGCTGAAACAAGTATTTGACGAATAATTGATACTAAAAATCGACAAGAAAATTATCCCATTGTATAATATTATAGTTATTGTCTCTAAATTTTTTTTCTACGGACATAACGATTCAAATTCGAATCAATGGCGACCAAACCACTCGATTTTTATAAAAATTTATTATACGATGTTCTGGTAGGATTAATATTTATTTTACGTTAATTTTGATGTATCTTTATTATTTTGCAACGAATGAATCTTGTACGCACTACAGTTATAAATAATCAAACGAGACTAATTCAATTTAATAATATGATTTTTACAGTGAAATTAAAAAATAAATTATTGTTTTTTGTATGTTTTACCTCAAATATTTGTGTCCAACGTAACTACTCTCTTAGATGACTTGCATAAAAACAATTTCGCGTAACGAATTTTAATATAACAATAATATTATTATAACGTGTTCATGTGTGGTTTTAGTGGTTAAGCGTTCCATTCGCATGGTACAATAAGAAAGTGGACTTCAACAAGCCCGGTTTAGACCTGGTAGGTGAGATCAAAGGGAAAGACTTCCTCAGCTACATTGACTACGCGTTGTTGTTGGTGTTCGGTGGAATCCCATGGCAAGTGTACTTCCAGCGAGTGTTGTCTAGTAAATCGGCATCTCAAGCTCAAATACTATCATACGTCGCGGCTTTCGGATGCTTTATCATGGCAATACCGCCGGTTATCATCGGAATGGTAGCCAGAGCTACAGGTGTGTAGAATTTGCAGTTTCGATACGAAATCGAAAATTTAATTGAAGTTATAAATGGATTTTATAGTTGGAGTAAAAGTAAAAAATTCTAAGTTTTTAGTATTGTTATTGTATATTATAACGCAAATCAAAATCTAATGTTTTACCGAAATTGAACAGTACTTTGGACGTGCTGAAATTGAGGGTACGCAACGATACTTTTCATAATAAATTTAATAATTCAACGTAATCATCCGGATTCTAAAATTAGGGTTCATGAGTATTTTTAACTACTAACATACTTACCACAACTATATTGTCAATGTATAGTTTGAAATATACATATACTTCAGAATTTTCATAACAAACTTAACAGTATTTGTATAAGATGTCATAAACTATATCGTTTCACTTGATTGTGAATAAATAATATTTTATCATAATATAACACGTAAATCTTAACTTTTGCCATTCCCAGACTGTAGCTTAAAATCTTAGAGCCTCATGTTCACGGACTAAAATTTACTAAAATCATTTATTCGCATTTGTTTCGTCAAAAAAGATTCATAATGTTATTCATTCTCATATTTTCTGTTTTATTTCGATCCGTGCATTTCAGCGTTAACGTGAGTTAACAAGTCAATATGACACATTTAGTATAGTATAATATTATTGTTCTGGTCTGTTCGCAAGAATTATGAATTTCTAATTAAATATTGTGATTCGTATTTTCTGTCCGCGAGTGATACGAACATTATTTATTATAATAATCAAAGGGCATAAGCCCTTTAACAAAATATTGTAGTATAATATATAATAATTGTTGGGACATGAAAACGTGATTAGAGTCATCAAAAACTAATAGTGTACCTACAACGAACGCCGTTCGTTGCACGCAAGTAAATCAATTAAAAATGCATTTAACCCGTGTCCCCACGTAGATTGGAATCAGACAAAGTACGACGGACCTTGGCCGATGACCCCGAAGGAAACCAGCATGGTGCTGCCTATGGTCATGCAGTATCTCACCCCTGACTGGGTGGCATTTTTTGCGTTGGGCGCGATCTCCGCAGCTATCATGTCTTCGGCCGACTCCAGCGTCTTGTCCGCCAGTTCCATGTTCGCCCGGAACATCTACCGGATGCTGTTGCGGCAAAGCGTAAGTCGGTGCTTGTCACGGTGTACCCAAACAATCGTTTACAAAATAGTCGGTACGGAGAGTACGTATTTCGAAAATCGTTCAAATATTTGTTCAGGAATTTTTATAAAGATACCGCGTGCATTAGGTGTTCGGGAAATTCACGTTTCTCGATTGATGATTCCAATGGAACAACATTGTTTCCGATTCAACATCCGATTCAAATCTGATAAAAATCGTGTTTAAGTAAATTGTGCGTGACTATACGAGTTAAAAAACTAATCGCTTGGAAACGTGATTTTTTAATGTAATATTTGAGACATTTTTCGCTCAAACATATTCAATTCTTGGTTACCTAAAACTGAACACGAATTATATGTCGTCCTCAAGAACACCTTAAATGAACATTTATTATTTTTATATTACAAATATACTCCATTCTTATTTTACTCAACGTATCGCTATTTTATCAATTTTAACAATAATTTAACGATAGTAATAACAATAATAGTAACATTAATTATAACGTTTTATATTCGATTTAGGCTTCGGAAATGGAAATCGTGTGGGTCATGCGGTTGTCCATCGTGGTCGTTGCGTTCTCGGCTACAACCATGGCCATTACTATCCCGTCCATTTACGGTCTGTGGTCTATGTGCTCTGACCTAGTATACGTTATCCTGTTCCCGCAGCTAATTATGGTAGTGCACTTCAAACACCATTGCAATACGTATGGCTCGCTGGCCGCTTACATAGTCGCGTTTTACATACGAATGGCCGGCGGAGAACCACTGCTGGGCCTGAAGCCAATGATACATTTCCCCGGGTGGGACGGTGAAAAACAGTTGTTCCCGTTCCGGACCACCGCCATGCTCTGTTCACTGTTCACATTGGTCTTCGTCTCGTGGTTCACAAAGTAAGTAGACCACTTCGGACGGCATCGCAACACGAGGGCTGCGGCTAAAATAATAACTGTTCGCATCGCTCGTGGCGGATATCCTCGGTAAAGGTTGTGGTTATACATCGAAGGACTTAGCCGACCAGCAATTAATCCTCTGTTTTTAACCGGGAACCAAGCGGTCGGCCTATCGTCAGAGCCGTACCGATACCTAAGTGATCACTGTGGTGTTCGAATATTCTCAGGGGCGGATTGGCAATTATTTTCGGCCCAGGAAACATGAAAAAAACCGGCCCATGAACCACAAATTAAACTATTTTACCCTTACCCCATCCTAAAAAAATGCTTTATTATATATTAATTTCAAAATTTGTTTAGTTTCATTCCTAAATTAGTAAAATTTACAATAACTTTACTATAATTATAGCTATAATAGTTTTGGGTAAGTCACATGATTAATCAGTTACAACTTGAACTAAAGTTTGATCTTAATGCATCTTTAAATATATTTATTTTTTTAATGATTTTTATTTATTTTACAAAATAAAACTATTTTTTGGTAATTATATAATAATCTAGAGCGGCCCAAATAAGGACCGGTCCATCGGGAAGATTCCCGATTTCCCGATAGGCCAATCCGCCCCTGAATATTCTTATAACTCTACTTGAGTAATAGCATTAATGCTTGATGAAACGAAGCTTAAGATGGATTGCTTGGATTGCTTACAATATATTTTTCATGTATTTTCGAAATGTGTTGCAATATTGAGAATTTTATAAAAAAAATATCACAAAATATTTGTATTGTTGAATAATTCTTTATTATGTCTTCAATTTTGTTAATCACTCTTACTAAATAATACAAAACACATATTATTTTTTGGGTTAATACGTTCTTTTTCAAATTAGAAATAAGATAACTTTTTTAATTAATTTTCAAAACCTTATTTAACGTTAATGTTAAGATAAAAACTTTAGTTTAATTTTTTTGATATTATATATTAAAACGTCAACTAATTTATTCTTCTTTTTAGTTACGGCCTTTAAGACCATCCTGAAAACACTAAATTTTGCCACCTATCCCTGTCCTCCGCTACTTCTCTCCACTTGACACCAGGCTCTATATTTTCCACTTCTTTCTTCACACCATCTTCCCATCTTAACTTAGGTCTACCTATTGGTCTTTTTCCATTAGGCTCTTCTTCAATCACCCATTTTACTAAAGTACCCTGTTTGCGCCAAGCATGTCCTGCCCAACTAAGTTTCCGCTTGGTGATCTCTTTAACTATATTCGGCCTCTGGAAAAGTCCTTGGAGTTCCACGTTATGAAGTTTTCTCCATTCCCTCGTTTGTCTATCGTATATGGGGCCAAACATTTTCCGTAGAACTTTTCTCTCGAATATCATTAATCTTGATTCTTCTGTTTTTCTCAACTAATTTATTGGCTGTGTTTTTTGTACCTAAGTATAAAGTGTTTATGTTTTAAATGGTATTCTTAAAAAGTTAAACAAAAACTGTTTTTTTTTATATTTGTATGTACCTACAATACCATTGTATAATAATTGTATGACTATCATAGTCATATCGAAGCAATCGGATTACTTATTTTTTCAATATTTATGTTACGGTTAAAGTTCGAAAAAGAGTAGGTTACAAATTTCCCGGATATAGTACACCTTATTCATATGAATTGTATAATGTGTACACTATACAGTGTACTATGCATAAGGTATGAAGTAGAAAAAAAAACTGAATCATATTAATTCGAAAAAAAAATTATTAAGTAAATTGTTAAGTTATTATTTTATAAATAAAAAAATTTATAAAATTAAACATAGTTATTTATTGGAACAGTTCTTTTGGATAATATTTTAGGTAAAATATCTCCCCAGATTTACCTTTACTCCGAAATTTATTTGTTAAATGATTATTTTTACACAAACATTTTTTAAAACTTTAACCACCGAAAAGAAATTATGCATTAGCTATTTCACATAACGATTTTTTTTTGAATCCGACATTTATAAAATATTTATAAAAGTTTCATTTTGATTTATTTGTTCTTTTTTCTTAATTCAGATAGTATATTATAATATTTTGATTTCGTCAAATTTACCGAATTTCCATTATTTTCATTTATTAATTTATTAAAACTCTCATAAAATTTCTCTTTTTATGAAGACAAGTTTTTTTTTTAAAAATTGTTGATTGAATCTACAAAATAAACGGTTTACAAATATGTTTACTTTACCAAATAGGCATGGGTAGTGTTCGCATTACCCCATGTTCGTGCTCTACCCATAACATTTATAATACATTTTGAAAGTTCTTACATTTAGTTGCTTTTATAATGAGAATGTCATTAGCATACGTCATATTAATCAACATAATTTCCATCTCTGATCCACGCACAAAGAATTCATAGAACGTTTGGAAACCCAGTATTTGGTATTTTACACTATACAGGCGATGCCACTCGTTGGTTAAAGCAATTAATCAACGGAATGCGACTTGGCTCATAATTAAACTAATTTTCTATACGTCATTACATTATTTCTATTGATCATCCGAGTGCCGCGTTTCTGATCACTTCCAAACACTATGCAACATACGTCTAAGAATTTTTAGAATACCTAAAATGATTGATTTTTTTAACATTCGTCGGTTTTATACATTGTCTTGTTAAAAATGATTAATCATTTTTTCTATCATTATTTATATTGCTGTAGTAGAATTATTTAGAAACACATACCTATTGAGATAAAAATTAAACTTAACACAAGATCCATTTCGTACCGTAATTTAAAACCTGAGCAGTAAGACAAGAATAATATGTCGTATTTTATTTTTGATTATGAAGTTGGACCACTTAAAAGTGATCGCAAAGAGTTTATGAAAATGTTGCCTTAGCATACACGTGCTTGCTGTATATCCCTCCTATACGGTAATGATGTTCGCGAAAAGTTATCGCATGAGTTATTATGCAATAGATTTTCGTAACGAAAAGCCAACAATCTTCCGTCGGAAGGGATCTTCAGTTATTATAACACGCTTAAATACGCCACTAATTTGTGCATGTTTACATATTATTTCTAGATGGTTATTCCACAACGGTATGCTGGCACCACATTACGATTGGTTCCATTGCGTGGTAAACATACCAGAAGACGCAGTGCGCGTCGGCGAGCCTATCGAAGGAGAACAGATGACCACATTGACTTCGGGTAAGCTGAACCTACTTCGGAAATCATTTCCCCGTACCCTGTCGCAGGAACTGCGTTAGTAACTGTTGGGCTCGGTATTGAATCGTGTTAAAGGTGGCCGAAAGTTATCGCCGAAATCTAAAACGAATCGATTTCAAAATTATTTCACTGGTCTTGAAAAACGTAATAAAAATGATGGAAGACTCATCGATTATCAGAAACGTAATTTTACGCGTGATTATACAACCCGACCGGTGAATGTTGGTATAGTCTTCCCGTTACATTCCGTTGACCGGTTGCTGATTAGGACGTGTACGCGAATCGGGTACTTTCGTGGCGATAACAGGCCGAGCAAAAGATTGTTGACGCGAACGCGTTTCTTTCTATTTGAACAGCACCGATATTTAACGGCGCTGGATTAGGATTTTCCGATCAAATCCATGAACTTGCAAAACTTTTTCCCGATCGCAATATGCACCGCGCGTTATTTCACTATTCGTACCGCGCCTAGTGGCAATGGGCGCACATGATGACTTGTGACGTTTTTTCACAGGTCCCAAGGGAGCGCAGTACGGCGCGGCGGTCACCACCGGTCTGGTGGGCAAAGATGAACGCAACGGCAGAATAAACCCTGCGTTGGACATAAACGACGACGAGCCGAGTGCCACCACGGCTCTACAGAGAAAAGCCAGCGTCGTGGGAAAGGTGTACAAACAGGGATACGAACAGACCACCGGGTTTTGAATAACATATCGATCAGATCTCATAAGTGACGCTACGCCATCTCAACCCCCATTGGTAGGATTATGAGTAGTCGCCCTCTAAAAAAAATCATATCATTATTATATATGTATATATATAATATTATTATTACTATTATTATTGATTACGGAAACAATGATAAATCAGAGATAAAATACAACCATTTATGGTATAATATTATCATTATACCGTTCCCTCTCGTACGTCTTGTACCCACCACTCCTCTTGTTTTTTTTCTAGCGAAATTCTATGGACACGACAACACTTATACGTTTCTCACACGTTTTGTGTTGTTTGACTGTTATTTATATGATATTTATTAGAGTATTAGAATGAATGAAAAATAAATTCAGTATTAGAAAACACTTTACCTGTCACACGTTTGAGTATTATATTATGTATATTATACTATACAACCTATATCAGTGTTGATTCTTCCAAAGAAAAAAAATAAATAATAATAATAATAAAAATTAATAAATAAATAAATAAAATAAATTATAAATAAACATAATTATGCCTATTAATAAATGGTTATGATAATTGAAAAAAGTTTAGAAAAATATGATTTAAAACTATTGAATAAATTCGCTAATTCATAATGGTTTGTAGTGGGAAATATATTAATTGGCATTTAAATTTGATAAGATAAATCTATATTACACTATATATTAATATTAACGGTTTTTTAGAACTAGTATTTTAGTATTTCATAAAATTGTGTTGATTAATTATTAAAGTTGTTAATGTGATTGTTGAGCTTTTTTTAAAATCGTTTAAATTTAATCAGAGATTTTATGTGCTTTTATGTTTGTTTTTAAGCATAAAAATTAAAATTCCACTATTATTGTTATTATCGGGAATTTGTTAAAGGACTTGTACAATGATACATATCATTTTATCTTACTCTTAAGATTGACAATTACATATCACTATATGTATTAAATACATGACTGACCTTTAGATTAATAGAAAAAAAAATCATATTAGAATTACATCTTTTATAATTAATAATATTTTACTTGGTGATATTCGGTCGGTTCATAAATCATTTAAAATGTTCAATTAAGCCAAAACAGATGAATCGATAAATAGAACTGGCCGATTTCTCAATTCGAGAATTTAAAATAAAATTTTAAGTAACATATCAGCACAATACGAAACATTTTATTATATTAAAATTTGGTAATATTATCCAAAGTCCCGATTTGTAATTTTTTTTTTTTTTAGTAAAAACAAACAAAATATTTATACGTATATAAATATATTTATATGTATACTCTTGGAAATGACAATTTAGCTTAATATTTACAAGTAACAATTATAATAATATTAATGATAAAAATAAAACTGTTATATAATATTATAATAGAACGAAGTTTGAAAACGAAATGTATTTACAACGGAATTGTCTAGTCGATATGTTATAAATAATATACAATAATATGTAGTTGAGTAGTATAATAAAATCTATGTCTTGTTGTAAACCGATGTTATTACTTGTACAACGCGTTGGCTAAATACATCGCAAACTACCTATAATTTCATTAAACGTCGTATATTTAACGTTCGTTAATACTATTCTTTATTTTGTATATGTTTTTTTTTTCTTATGGCTGATAAACACATTCCCTCGAACAGTCTAGTGATACTGGCGGACTAGATGGCGAACTCTATTACTTTGCGTAACACAGGCCCGCGATCAGTCGCCCGGCCGACGGTGCACCGGGTCAGCCCGCCGTTCAGCCGTACACCGATGGCGGCTGCGACTCGGACAGCGGAGCCGCGAACTCGTCGAACCGTATGGTCGTCTCCGCGCCGGTCACTGTGGTCTGCGGTTGCGTGTCGGTCCGACCGGGTATCGGGGTGAAGTATCCGGTGGTTTCCACGTACGATTGCCCGTCCAGCGGTAACGTCGAGCCCACCGGCAACGTGGTGCGCTGCTGGTGCGACGTCTGCAGGCTCAGGCTCCGGCCGTTCGGCGTGGCCGCGACTGGCGCCGAGTTGGACGACGCGCCGTATGGTTGCTCGGGCGACGGTGTCGTGAACGTGGGCAAAGATGACAGCGGGGAACCACCTGTGTACGGGAACTGCGACTGAGAGCCGCCGCCGCTTTGCGTGGACGGCGTCGGGAACGGTATCGAAGGGCTGCTGTAACTGTACCCACCGCCGGCGCTTTGCGTGGACGGCGTCGGGAACGGTACCGAAGGGCTGCTGTAACTGTACCCACCGGACGTGGACTGCGGCTGCGTCTGCGGTTGCGCGGGTTGCGTTTGCGGTTTGAACTGAGCCTGGGTGATTTGGTTCTGGGTGGGACTGCTGTAACTGTACCCCGGCTGAGTCTGCGTCGGTCTGGACGTGGTCGTCACCGGCACGCCCGTATAAATGTAGCTGCCCTGCGGCCTCTGAGTGGACTGCGGCCTGGGAGGACCGTAGTTGTTCGACGGTGGCGCCGGTGGCGATTGCGATGGTTGAGCTTGTTGTGGCGCGCCGTACGTAGGCTGCGGTGCTGCAGCGGGTTGCTGCGGAGGGTTGTACGAATAACCAACACCCTGCGGTGGCGGGTTTTGGGGTTGCGGTTGGGACGGCACGAACGCGGGCTGCTTGGGTTGTTGCGGCTGTGGGGCCGCCGGCTGCCTCGGGGGCTGTTGAGGCGGTTGACTTGGTCTCGAGCTCGGTGCGTTATAAGAATAGCCTTGGAACTGATTGTTTGGCTGCGACTGGACGGGCGCAGAGTTGTATGAATAACCGTTTTGATTCTGTTGTGTTTGGGATACGCCCAAAAGTTGTTCAGGTATGTTGAACGACTGAGATGGAATTCCAAAGCTGATCGACTGCACTACAGTGGGTTGATTGGCATTATTGAATACCGGCGGTTTTGGCGCTGATGACGGACTAAGTTGTTGTGGTAACCCGTAGTTCGGTTGAGGTTGTTGCTGTTGTGGATGGTTACAGTTCGGTGGAGATGGACGTTGCTGTTGAGGTGCTGATGGTTTACTACTCTGTGGGGGTTGTGGTGATGGTTGTTGCTGTTGAGGTGGTGGTCCATAACTTGGCCGAGGTTGCGGCTGAGGTTGTGGTTGAGGTTGTTGTTGTGGTGGAGGTCCATAACTTGGTCGAGGTTGTGGTTGAGGTTGTTGTTGTGGCGGTGGTCCATAACTAGGCCGGGGTTGGGGCTGAGGTTGCTGTTGTTGTGGAGGTCCATAATTTGGTTGTGGTTGTGGCTGGGGTTGTTGTGGCTGTTGTGGAGGGCCATAATTCGATTGAGGTTGTGGCTGGATTTGTTGCGGTTGTTGTGGAGGCCCATAATTCGATTGAGGTTGTGGCTGTGGTTGTTGTTGTGGTGGGGGTGGGGGTGGTCCATAATTTGGTCGAGGCTGCGGCTGAGATTGCGGCTGAGGTTGCGGTTGAGGTTGTTGCTGTTGTGGAGGTCCATAATTCGGTTGAGGTTGTTGTTGCGGTGGTCCATAAATTGGCCGAGGTTGAGGTTGTTGCTGCGGTGGAGGTGGTCCATAATTAGGTTGAGGTTGAGGTTGTTGTTGTAGTGAAGGTCCATAATTTGGCTGTGGTTGTTGTGGTTGTTGTGGAGGCCCGTAATTTGACTGAGGTTGTGGCTGGGGTTGTTGTTGTTGTGGAGGTCCATAATTTGGCTGTGGTTGTGGCTGGGGTAGTTGTGGTTGTGATGGTGGTGCTCCATAACTCGGTTGTGGTTGTGGCTGGGGTTGCTGTTGTTGTGGAGGTCCATAATTTGGCTGTGGTTGTGGCTGGAGTAGTTGTGGTTGTGATGGTGGTGCTCCATAACTCGGTTGTGGTTGTGGCTGGGGTTGTTGTGGCTGTTGTGGAGGCCCATAATTCAATTGAGGTTGAGGCTGGATTTGTTGCGGTTGTTGTGGAGGCCCATAATTCGATTGAGGTTGTGGCTGGGGTTGTTGCGGCTGTTGTGGAGGACCATAATTTGGTTGTGGTTGTGGTTGGGATTGTTGTGGTTGTTGTGAAGGCCCATAATTCGGTTGAGGTTGTGGCTGGGGTTGTTGTGGTGGTTGTGGAGGCCCATAATTCGGTTGAGGTTGTGGCTGGGGTTGTTGTAGTTGTTGTGGAGGCCCATAATTTGGTTGAGTTTGTGGCGGGGGTTGTTGAGGTTGTTGTGGAGAACCATAATTTAGCTGAGGCTGTTGAAATGGTTGCTGTAATTGAGGCGGAGGTCCATAATTTGACTGCAGTTGTTGTGATTGTTGTTGTGGTTGTAAGTACCCTTGTTGTGGTCGTTGCTGTGGTATTTGTTGTGAAGAACTATAACTTTGTTCGATACTCTGTACAGAACTATAGCTTTGTTGAGATTCCGCTCCACTTAAAATTTCATGTGAATTTCCAAAACTATGTAATGATTGTAACTGTGTTGCATCTTTTATGTCTTGTACATTAAGATCAGATCCAGAATCAAAAGATTGTCGGTAACTAGGTGTACTAGATGGAGATGATGAACTAGCTGTTGGTTGGCGTTGAAAAGGATTCTGAAGCAATTGAGATGAAATAGATGCTGAAAAGTAAAAAAAAAAAGTTATAATTAGATAAATTAAATTAATTTTTAAATATAATTTAGGAGATAACACATTTATAAATTCTATATTTTATTAACTATTATATTCATTTTAATTAGTTAGATTAACAGTAAAATGTACACTACAACTTGTTCAAATAACTTTAAAAAATATAAACATTAAAATATTATAGAAAATATATCCAATATAACAGTTATATGCTGAAAAACCGGAAAATAATATTAAAAATATCAAATATAAATAATTAATTATTTAATGTTAAAAGCTTTCAAAAGTATTTTACTTATTGTTAAATTTGTTGGCTTATCATTTTTTTTTTAAATTTTAAAAACTCATTGATTAATTATATTTTATAATTTAATTTAGTACTAATAACATACGCAGGCTTTAATATATCTCATCATAAAAAAAAAAAATTATAACTATTTTTAATATAGTTACTATATCGGATATCATTATAAAATACATTTATTTGTACAAAATGTCTTAGAATTAAACGACTGTTTTTTAAATATATTTATGTGGGTATATGTATTTATATCATACTTAAATATATAATATAACATAATAATCAGTTCGGTTCTGAATGCCATTAGGTACGCATGTTATTTTACTAGTAATATGCTCGCGGTTTTCAAATACGAATCGTCTATAGTTCATAATACCACCCTATTATGTTGTTTCAATCGAACAAAAATTGTATTTACAATAATAACAAAAGAAATCTCTCTACATCTCCTCTCTCACCAAAGATAGAAGATAATAAATCCAAAATTTTCTCTAGTCGAAATTGGTTCGCTGTTCACGTTAAGTCCGACGAAGTCGATGTAAACACAAGTAAAAAAAAACGTCCAAATTCGCAATGGCAATTGACACGATTAAATGACCGCTCGTTTACATTAAACATGTGGACAATTTCTCTAGCTACAACTCCAACCTGTTGACCATATTAGACTCTACTGATTTCATTTGTAAGTGCATGCCCTCGTATATTATCAGACGATAATGTAGACACATGTATTTCCATGTTCAGTACAAATTGCTATTAAATCATTTAATGGAAAATGGCATATATGTTTAATATCCATTATAATTTTACATCGGGGAAAAAATAGCAAATATGCGTATAATCATGTTAATTAAGTAAATAATTTATCATTGTTCTTGCTATTTTGCCTTACAAAAAATATTTTTTGTGTTAATTTTTTTTCTAAAATGCGAACAACCAATATCATAACAAATTTTTAATAAAAATATAAACGTTTTTCTTTGATCATAATAAGTGTATTACGAGTTACATAAATTATAAACGATATAGTATTCGTTTGCCTAAAATATGGTATGTCTGATATTACTATAACGACCTATGCTCGAAATGAGAATAGTTATTATTGCAGGAGTGTTAATTTATTTATGAAAAAAAAAAAAATAAAAAAACGAAAATATCGTCTCCAGTCATTTCTTGTTTCGATACATATCAGTCAAATATTATTCGTTAGCTACGCATAGTTATTGTAAATATTCACATGACCACCTCACACTGTCTTCATCATTGCTGGTCCTTCTGAATTGGGACACAACCTCATAAACATACACAATATAAAGCGTTTTTCGGATAAAGCACCCTTGCCACTTTTTTTCGAAGATAACTAAAAAGCTACAAATAACTTGGAAATATATAAGATTGAGTACTTTTTAAATTCTAAATTGTTGAAAAATTATGACCTCCAAAAAGTCCACGACAATGCACTAATTTTTAATCTTACGGACACACCCAGAGATACTGTCATCATTATCCATGATGTGTAAAATGTAGCTAGATCACTTTTCAAATTCTTGTGATTCTTCAGTCAGATGTATATATATTATATGCAATGTTAGCCACACCGCCACTAACAAAGGTTGCTCCGAATTTAAAAATCTCAAACGTATAAATATTTTATATAGACATCTCATATCTACTCATTCATCCAAAAATAAAAAAATAATTCTCCTAAAACCTCCTTTAATACCACTTCCACCGAACCATCATATGCTTATATCACCTCCTCCGATATTTATAATTCTCCGATATTAATAATATTAAAACATTATTTACCTCATTTATTTCCGAATTTTTCAATATCATAAAACTCTTTTCTTTTCTTACTTCATAATTAAATAAATCCAAAATATAATTATCTCTACTCGCTGTAATTATGTTATTCACATTGTTAACCTTTATCTGTGTAATAATAGCTTATATTTTGTTGTTATCTATTCTAATATTTTATATGCGTAACGATTACCTACATTATTAAATAAAAAAAATCATGCATATTGTGTTGTTATTTCAGTATATATTGTAATATTGTAACTGTCGAACTATGATAGTCATTCTGAAAGTCTAAAAAAAAAAATAAAAATAAAAAATATGAAAGACGGATTATATATTTTATGAAAAATCACACCAGAAAGAATCATAAAAATGCTGTCAGTTGTTTATAACGAATAAAATCTCTCGTAAAGATTAAGATACTATATATTTACGAGTATGTATATAAAGTCACATGGTTAATGTATGTCATTACATGATATGATGCTGTTAACTTTAAAATTGATTTTAATTTGTAATGTGTTTTTAAAAATATATTTTAATGGAAGTATAAAACTTAAATTTTATAATTTTCTTAGACTCTTTATAATTAATGATTATAACCTTATGTATGGTATGTAATGCTCCAATAATTAAACTATAATATAACATACCATTGCTTCATGTCAACATATATTTAAGCGAAAATTATAAAAAAAAAAAATTAAATACATTATATTTAAATCAATAAATTGTACTTATATTTAGTATATTAAGTGAAGCTAAGATCATTTTGATTTTATAATTAATTTTTAAATTTTATAGATTTTACCTAAAAGGTACTTTAAAATATCTAGTTCCCAAATATTCTTAATATTTTTTCCGATATAAAAATATTAACAAAAAAGGTAAACATGGAATTACATTAAATTTAGTCCAGAAAATGTTATTATGTTTCTTCTTAAAAATATATAATATTGGATTTAATAGCTTTCATATTGATTAGAAGTCCACAAATTTAACTTGTGTTGTGTAAAGATGATTTGAATCGGTTCAAGTTTAAGATTATGTCATTATAATTGTTTCTTCCCATGAATATTAACGAGCAGTTTTTATCAATATGGGCATTTTGTTACATTTAATTTTAAAATAAAATAAATATTTACCTCATTTTGTATTTTACAATCAATTAAAGTATAAACTATCAAACGTTACATCGAAAAATTGTATTTATCCCAATTAAAATTACGTTGTGAGATAAATATTCAATATACTTTGTCTAAGAATCGTTTTATGAGTGTGATGAATTTTTGTTGTTTTTTTTTTTTTCAAATCTATTGAAGAATATAGTATAATTATTACACAATTGTCTATAAAATAACATCCATTAAGGTTTGAAGTGATCTGCGCACTCATATTTCCGTGTACCTGTATTTCCAGTATCTCATAGTTTTATTAATTTTTTGTTCACATCAATTAGATTTTATATTTGTAAAAATCATTTTTCAAATTAGTTTGCAGTAGTTTTTTTTTTTTAATTTAACTGTACTATGTTCAATATTATCTTTTCTTATATCTTACGAAAACTATATGATTCCTTAGTATGATCCCTTTAGAAAATTAAAAATATTTAAATATTGACCATTCGGTCACTAAACTAAATTGTTGACGTTGTAATAATTAACAATTTATCTAAATTTATTTATGTGACTGTATCATAAATTAATATCATTTTTGTAAATCATATAGTGCTCACCGTAAAATACTGAAACTTATTTTTTTACAGTGACTATACCAAAACAAATATTCGATGGATATTCATTTTTATTATAATATTATAATAAATTATTTGAGTATAATTACTTGTAGAAATAAAGTGATTTTTCTAAACAAGTAAAAAAAAAAACAAATTAAATGTTGTACGAGCTAAAAATAATAATTGTGATAAAGAACATTTGTTGCTGTTGTGTAATGGTTTTTGTAAAAATTTGAAAAATAATCTTCAGTTTGTTTACTTCGTATGATTGCTTATCGTGTAATTGGTAATTAATAACATACTTCAAACACGACCGTTCGACAAATTTAGCAAATCAGGAAAACGTAAACAATATGACTGGCGTGTAACAATATTGTCTCACATTTTTTGCACTATATTTTTGCGGCCTTCTCGGTTACGGTTATCATCAAATCACCATTGTGCCCGCCACTTGTTATTGTCTAAACGTTGTTCAATCGCTGCTAGTTCTTACGCCGTGACATTTAATTATTCAGATCCTGTTCAAATGGCTACCCTTTATTTGTTCCTTTGCTTATCGAGTTTGTGTGCATCGATTTTTTTCTCTTTTTTACAAAACTAAACCTGCGTGTAAGAGTTATTCGCAACGAACACGCTTTGTTTTGAAATGTCGATAAAATGAAATTATATTATCCATGAACACACGTTTCGATTATTATAATACGTAAACGCGCTTTGAGGTATACCTAAATATGCACTTGACATATAATCGTATACATTATAAATTTAAATATTCATGAAACAAAAAAAAAAAAGGAAAACCCAAACAAATGTGAACGCATACAATAAAATATATGTTACAATACGGAGACTATTAGTCCAGCAATTTAAGGATCATGTGTTGAGAAAAAATGAAAGAAAAATGCAAAAGACAGAAATATGAGTAAATCGTACATCATTTAGAATTTCTGTAAACTGTTGATCGATGTAAAAAATGACTATGTATAATATCGTATTCGAATTTCATGCGAAATTCTCAGTACAATTATTATTTAGTATATTTTCCTAATAACCAATTTTCTTTCTTGCACAACACAGACGGTATATTTGCGAATAAAGAGAAGCTTATCAGATCAAATTGATAAAAATGAAAAAAAAAAATTAACATTTTATGTTAGATCAATAATAAATAAATTGCACACATCTAAATATGACGAGATGATCATGTGTGTTCGTACTTTGGTATGTATCATATGATTGTTTAAATATATGTATAAATTACAGTTAAAACCCGGAATCGGTTAATAATTTTAACTAGTCAAACTATAATTGAATTAGGACTTTAATAGTGATACTAGTTTTAAAATACATTTATGCAACAAAAATTAATTTGAAATAAGTATAATTGGTTTTGACAAGTCAAACTATCGTGGTATTTAGAGATCATACGATTTTTTCCATATACTTTTTGAAGCAAAATACTTAGTCATAGCCAGCATTTTATATTTGATATTTGATCGTCGACCGGTCAAAGTTATCTTAATTTATTTTCATAAATTATGCCATACAACCCTAAATGGCACGATAGTTAGCCTTGCAAAACAAATAATAAAAATAATACTTATTTCAAATAAACTTTTGTTCTAAAATCGTATTTTTAAACTAGTAACAACATTGAAGTCCTGGTTAATTCTAGTTTTAAAACTAGTCCAAAATCAGTTTTGACGAAACTGATTTGTGAAAACTAGTTTTGATGAATGTCGGATCTTAACTGTAACATGTACACAGAGATAGCGTATAAATTATGTATAGCAACAAGACCATTGTGAATGCAACTAGTCTAAGATAGACTTCGTTGGGCTCTTTGAAATTCTTCCGAGTTCACGGATTGATAGACGGACGACGATGGTCGTGAAACGATCAAGGATATCGGTTCGACTACGAAGCGACGGAAATCGTGAAAACAGATTTTCACTCGACATTTCGAAATGTACTCGCGAGAACGGACACTTTACAAATTGACATACTCGTATAAGATTTACACCATTTCGGGTCGAACGGATAAGTCATAACAACGTGGGTGGGCACGTGCAGCCCATGTGTCTAGCGGCTCTGGTAACCGATCCGCAGGCATTTATGAATGCTTCGTTCAAAAGATGATGATTTTCGTTGTCGATGTTACGCAGTGATAGGAAACGGGAGTGGGTCGATTGGCAGTACTGAAGAAACACTCGTTTTTCGTTCTAACTACTGTTATCCATCTCGTTCGGCGAACATTCGGATCCGTCTGGATTGCGTTAGGCTTACAGGTCGAGATGATCGCGTGTCCTGGAAATGGACCGCGGCCGAGTCGGACGCAAGCAGACGGAAGAGCGGCCGCCGGGTGACGTCATCGGGGCCGACGTCGTTATCGTAACAACCGGAGTGGGCATCGTTACACGCGTGACGGCGCGCGCGGTCAGCACCTCTGGGGCAACGGACCGCAACGCGCAACACCGCACAACCGGCCGCGGTCGGTTTCCGGCAACGGTCAGCAGTCGCGCCGCGGCCTCTTTCCGATGCATAACGGCCGCGCGTCTTCTCGACTGTCTGTGTGACTAGGAAGCGAACGACGACGCTCGCACGGCCACCCGCGAGACCGTCTCCCGTGTCCAATCGAACCCGGCAACGGTTCAACGAGCACCGCACCCATCCGCCCCCCCGTGTGCAAGTCGCCCGGTGTCTCGTTGGCTCCGAAGTCCTGCGCACGTTCAACAGGGTCGGCGAGATCTTTCGAGGGCCCTGGGACTCAGTGGCAACGAAACCCACTTCTTTCCCTAGCCCACCAACATCCTTGACATTATTTTTAAAAATACATAAATTGAAGAATACTAAAAAATCATTAAAGACTGAATCGCCCGGCTACTTATGTTTCACCAACTCGAATTTCAGATTGACAAATTTTAATAGGCTTTTCTCTATTGTTAAGATAAACTAAAATTGATTTAAGCAATTCAGCATTTTTTATCTATTTGTCGTGTGAAATTTGTCATATAAACCTTTTCACCGCGCTACTGTCGGGGCTGATCGGTTCCGGATCCTCTTTGCTTGCACTTGTTCGGCCAAAACACACATACTACTTGTAAATACTTTAGTACAATATAAATATTCAAACTCGCTTATGCTACGGCGAATGAAATTATAAATAAAATATTGTATAAAAGGTTGATACGTCGGTTTAGCCTTTTCGACGTAAGGGCGACGGGACTCTGGCCATCCCTGTCCCACCCTCTCATCGGCCCTAATCGGGCGAAAACCATTTTGAAATGCTGGAATATCTAAACGTCGGCCACCTATGGGGTTACTGTGGTTATTGTCCAAAAAATATTGATAACGCAACAAAGCTTACACACACGGTTCGTCAGCCAAACTTCGACCCGATTCATTCTGCATCGTCGTTAATTTTATTTTTCCGTCATTTGGAAATGCTGATTGGCAATACTTGTGGGGGGGGGGGGGGG